GTCGACGGGTTAGCACGCCAGCCTCACAGTGCAAACGCGCAGGGTTCGATTCTAGCTCCGGACTTCCTGTGTGGAGTAGCGTGCCTGCGTGAGTTTTCTCCGGGTACTCCAGTTTTCCTCCCACATTCCAAAAAATGCAGGACAGGTTTGATTGGACACTGTCCTTAAGTGCGATTGTGAGCGTGAATGGTTGTTTGTCTATGTGTGCCCTGCGATTGGCTGGCAACCAGTTTGGGGTGTACAGCTGGGTGAGGCTACAGCATGCCCGCGACCCTTGTGAGGATAAGCGGATTAGAAAATGGATGCATGGTTGATTTTAACTGTGCTCTATTTACTGCACAGAATACTCTAAGATTTACATTGACTATTTTTCTGTCTTAATAGAAAATTAGAATGCATATTTGTCTGCTCCACATTAACCTGCACCTTTGTTGTGTATGAGCAAATGTGACATTCTGCCCACAGTTAACATATCCTCCTCGTCAACGCTTGTCGCCCGCGCACATGGCTCTGTTTTCCCTTTATCTGCAATTTCCATGTGGTGGCTGCTGATCTAACAATTCCCAGCCTGAATTATTCCTCTGGCCAAGTACTGGTGGCCTTGGTGACTGCTTCCATGGTGACCAGACTGCATGTACAGTTGGAGCGGCTTTGAGTGTGGGCCTTGACTTCCTGATGGGGAGAGAGACAAGCGTAGCATGAGTCTCCTCTTTACATACGTGGGCACCATTTTTGGACTCCTCTGGCCATAAACATGCATTTGACAAAAGTTAACTGAAAAAATATATGTATGAAAGATAAACTCAGGCACACCTAATCCACTGGCCCTACCCCATGCCATGAAGAAATGTAGATGGGAACGGCAAAAGTCGCTGACACATGTGCAGGGAATAAATTGTACCCAGGGCATCTTTTCCCGAAACAGTGAGAATATCTCTGAGTATCCTGGAAACTTTTCCAGCTGTCTCATGCTTTCACTCAAATTGATGATATCCTCTGGATAACAGAAGACGAAAATGGCTTACCAGCTTTCTTTTCTTTCCCCCCTTTAGTTTATTGTGAATATCAAGTCCAACTCTTCAGGAACATGACAAGGAGGCTGAGCGCTTTTCATTTCAAATCGTGATCATGGCAAGGCTTGGATTTTGTAATAACTGGGTCATCAGTGACAGCCATGCATCACTTTGTTCTATACTTCAGTTGACAGTGTTCATCATGAATCTTGCCTCTTTTTGCTAAGATTGGCATCTGGAAAAAAAAAAAACAAAAGTTTGTAGCTAATGTTTAGTGTGAAGAAGGTTGGGTCGCACCAGTGCTGGAATTATTTGGATTTGTATTATAATGAACTGACTTATTGCCCCCCCAAAAAACAAAAAAAACATCCCACTGGCTCAATTTCTTCCAATAGGATGAGTTACAATTAAAGTGAACCATTTCATGAGCTTACCAGCAAATGTATAAATTGCTTTTGTGCACTAACGTCTCATTTTGCTTTCTTTTCAGCCTTAATACTCCCCCCGGAACAAAAATTAAGCTCCTGGGTACAGTTCTGGTTAGGAATGGGTTTTTGCTCCTTGATGACTCAAACATTTCTATTCTTGGTGGAGAAGTCGAACACATGGTGGAGAAATGGGAACTGCAACGTGTAAGGATTTTATTTTTTTTTTAATTAAGTCTCAGCTTTTGTGGTTCAGAAATCCTAATGCACGTTTATGGAAATAAACACTAGCTGTCTATCATCTTGTGGGTCTTAGTTTTGAAAACCTTTCTAACCAAGTTATTACTCCACCAGAGTCTGGCTAAACACAGCAGAAACAACGTGGGAGCAGAAGGTGGGCCGCCTCCTTTTTTGGCATTTGGCCAGGTAAGTGCCATCATTGGCTTCATCTTTGATTTGAATATGATCATTCCCTTAAAGGTAAAAACAATGACAAAATGTAACCAGCCGCAACATCCAGCGAAATTTAAGTACTATTCCAGTACTCTGGTTCTTCATCATTGCTACTTTTCAAAGGCTCAACAATATGCATTTAACCACATTGGAAATAGAGTTGCAATGACTAATGCTTTATGATCGACGAAGATCAATATGATGCGGCGTCTTTCTGCAGAAGAACGCAAAGAAGGATGAAATAGACAGTGAAGCGCTTGACAAGAGAAAAACCCTTCAGACCGTCGTCAAAATTGCTGATGAGAATGACGAGTTTGCAAAACAGCGGACGGCGGTCATTGCTGAGGTGGCCAAAGGCAAAGAGGTAGGTCAATTCTCAATCGGATGCTGACTTGCATCAAGTGGCTTGTTGCAGACGACAAGATTTTGTGCAGTTCTCTAGGGCAGCAGTCTCCAATCTGTTTTGTACCACAGACTGGTTTCTCCACTCAACATTATTGAGGTAGTGCTTTGACAAAAGCCATGGCTGCGCCAAAGCTCTGTACACAAAACATACATCGTTCACTGAAAAAATTAGTTCGTTTGGGCAAGCGGTTCAGAAATCAGATGATGTGAATCGGTTGTCCTTGTATTTTCAGTGCATGTGCGTACCTGTGCACCACTAGTGTCCATCCATCCATTTTCTAATCCGCTTTTGAGGGTCCCGGGCCTGCTGGAGCCTATCCCAGCTGTCTTCGGGCAGTAGGCGGGGGACACCCTGAACCTGTTGCCAGCCAATCGCAGGGCACACAGAGACAAATACCCATCTGCGCTCACACTCACATTGAGGGACAATTTTGAGTGTTCCATTAGCCTGCCATGCATGTTTTAGGAACGTGGGAGGAAACTGGAGTACCCGGAGTAAACCCACACAGGCACGGGGAGAACGTGCAAACTCCACACATCAGCCCGGGGCCAGAATCGAACCCTGCACCTCAGCACTATGTGCTCCGTGCCGCCCCACCACCAATGTGTGCATCATTAATGTACAGCACTGTAGATGCAGTAGATCCGTTTCTTACTTCACTGACATTGACGAATATACTTGTTAATTCCGTTTTTTCAAAGATGAGTGTGATGATGCTCCACAGTAAATTTCAAACTTGGAAACAATTTTCCCGATGCACAACAACCGCCGTCAGATACCATCGATGTCTTATTTTAGATATGAGTTCAGCACAGTTTGAGAGTCCATTGGGTGACCCGGCTGCAAATACAGCATGTGTTTGCGTCTTATTTTAGATATGAGATCAGCACAGTTTGAGAGTCCATTGGGTGACCCGGCTGCAAATACAGCATGTGTTTGCATAGTTGTCGTTTTTTTTTTTTTGTTTTTTTTGATTGTGTGTTTATTTGTTTCACCCAAGCACGTTTCCTTATGTTGCTCCATGTTTTCCTCATTAGGCTCCCCGTACATTTGGTGGAGGAGGAAACGCAGGGAACAATTTATCCGCCACGACTTCACGGAACCGTGACAAGCACAGGCGGGAAGACAGGGTTGATAGACATGACAACAGACAAGAGGGAACCTATCGAGAGCTGGTGAGAGGACTTCATTTCAGTCAAATGTTTAGGGCTGTTTAAGACTGTTACATGTGTGTTAATTGCATTACTAATAGAGCCTAATTCCTGTCTATAGTGGTGCTTGAGCCGCTGTTCAGGTAGCTTGATATTCTCGCAAATATATAGAGGGAGGGAAGGAGGGAGGGAAGGAGAGAGGATTCACAAATTAACATTGTGTACCTCCTTCAAACAATATTGTTGTTCTCTGTCTTACTCTATGCACAGGTGGATGAGCGTGCCCTCAGGGACATCCTAGATATGGGTTTTAACAAGGAGGCAGCCCGGCAGGCCTTAATGGATAACAACAACAATCTTGAGGTGGCGCTCAACTGTCTTCTCACGGGACCTTCGAATAGCAGATCCAACTCTGCGGTCGCTGACAAGCCTCAGCCTAGAGGTTTGTAATTGACAGGCATGACCTGAAATATATGGGATTTCACTAAATTGTCAATGGGGAGTTCGAGGGATATACCCAAATGATCATGTCTGTACTTTAGGTCAATTTTGACAAAAGGTGAGTTTTGGAATTTGGGCCACTTGGTCTTTCCTGCCTTTGATACCAGTTACAAATATCCAACAGTTTAAGTTAGCCTACTATTTGCTACCAAGGGTCGTCATATCTACGTCTACTTGGACAACAATGTCCACTTTGGTGGAGTCCCTGGCCAACGAGGGCTGGTAAGTCGCATGGTAGCGAACATTGCTTCACAAATCGATGACCAAGGCGTCCAGTTGTTTTGGACTTCATGCTTTTGTACTCACACCCACGACGATTAAACATTTAGTATATCTAAATATAGAGTCTTGGCATCAAAGCGAAAGGGGGACCACAACGTTTTAGCGATGTACCGTGGAACTACAAGAAGGCTAACCGCTGTGCTTGTCTCGAAAGAAATAGTGCGCAATCAAGCGTGCTGAAAAACACCACAAAGCACATCTCATCAGAACACCATCAAAGTGCAATTCTGAATGTTTGCAGCGGTTTGAAACTCAGAACATCACTGCAGTTGGAGTAACAGCTTCACGGGTTTCGTCATGACGTCAAGTCATACAATGATAACAACAATGCTACTACTGCTATAACTAATAATAAGAAGAATGCTCAGAATAAAATATTAATAGTAACGGGGATGATACTGACGGCCCATTTGCAGCATATATACTTTATACTCCCATTTCGTTAAAAATCGCCGTTACTGTACGATCGATTATTATCGATAATAGCTGCTGCTAATAAAAGAGTTTCATGAGGTGAAAGTTTTCAAGACTGCGGGTTCGCCTTGCTCACAGCAATAGAAAATGTATGTCGTTTAATAAGGCGCTAGTATTATTTCACGAAGTTGATGGGCTTATTTGTTTCTCTAATAGGCTGTCTTTGTTTTTACTCCGCAGGTACCTCAGTGATGAAGGCATTGCTGAACTCAAAGGATCTGCTGAGAACATTACACATAAGGATATTATTCGTATTGCACTTGATGTGAGTTCGATTGTATAAATATTTCCCACAGATGTTCCAATCACATTGTTGTTGTTTTTTTTTGACTGAGTCAGAGTCAAATTACTTAATTTTACACATCTTCTGAAACCAAGTCTGAATCGATCCCTCTACAATGGGCAAGGACGTTGGAACAGATAGTTTGCCATCCCCAACCCAAAATCTCTTGATATGCGAAAGCATTCAGATTTCCTGGAACCCCATGCTCCCAACTTCCTGATTGATGCACCAACGCACAAAGCAACATCCATCAAGACATGCGTGAGAGATTTTAATGTGTATGAACTTCACCTCAACCCAACAGAACAAACAGTATCGTTTCAATATTTCATATATTTCAAGTAACGCCATTTCTTGGGATCTATTGCATAGATTTAGCTGAAACTTGGTGTTCACCGACCTTAAACCTATTGTTTTGTTTTAAGTTTGGTGCTCTAGGGTTAGTTCTACTTGATGCAAGAGATGTCTGAAATTGTGAGAGTTTTAGCACACAGCCAAGACATCAGAGGCGGTGGCTTCAGGTTACCTTTCTGTACATCCAGCCACAAATCTTGTGGCATCATACTTAAGAAAAGACTTGGGGGGGGGGGGGTTGATGTTTGCATAAAGCAGATCTTGTCCATGTAGTACCCATTCCAGTGAAAGTAAATCATTCAAAGATGAGCAAAGGTTAATTGTTGCTGGTGTCAGCCGTCTCCATTATTGCAGCTAAGCAACATTTCTTTTGCAGGCTGATCTCAGACCGATTGGAAGACAAATTCTGCCATCCGATATCAATAGTGGAAGGGTTGAAAAGGTGAGTTGCACAGATGAGCTGGCTTGCATTTCTTCTAAATGTCACTAGATGGCCCCAACACACCTCCAAATAGGAGAGATGCATCCGCTTTTGTTCTCATGCTCCGACTGTCAAACAAGTGGAAATGTTCAAATTGCCGTCAGGAGATCAACATGTAATTTTATGTGTTGCACCACCACCCACACATACACGCGGCATGCTGGCTATGCAGTTTGCATGATTGATTCTTGTTAAGTGAATGCCAACTCAGCCTGCAAAATACAGGTGATAGGTTTTTCTCCCACCTTTCTTTCCTCACCCATTTCGGCATGCATGAATTAGCATGAATTGCTTGTTTGAGAGCCATTCTGCAAGTGAATGGACTAGAAAAACGGACTCCGTTGTTGTGATCATCTTCCCAATCACTCCAAATGCGATGTATCTAAAAGAAAATGAAGAATGAAATGTATTTCGTACTTTGTTGTAGCTGTCAATTTGCGGCACTTTTTTTTTTTTTTTTTTTTGCCAATGTCTCTCTCTTTCTATATGGCCAGCTGGAAGGTCCATGTGTTCTGCAGCTGCAGAAGTTGAGGAATATCTCTGCACCAAAAGATATCGAGTCCCAGGGAGGGCCGCGAATGCTGCGCCTGCAAATGACAGATGGCCACACCACCTGTGTTGGATTGGAATTTCAACACTTGACCAAAATCAGGTGCGGCAGTCACCGCTTCTTGCATTTTTATCAATACGGTTGATTTTTAACGGCGGCCCGGTAGTCGACTGGTTAGCACGCCAGCCTCACAGTGCAAACGCGCAGGGTTCGATTCTAGCTCCGGACTTCCTGTGTGGAGTAGCGTGCCTGCGTGAGTTTTCTCCGGGTACTCCAGTTTTCCTCCCACATTCCAAAAAATGCAGGACAGGTTTGATTGGACACTGTCCTTAAGTGCGATTGTGAGCGTGAATGGTTGTTTGTCTATGTGTGCCCTGCGATTGGCTGGCAACCAGTTTGGGGTGTACAGCTGGGTGAGGCTACAGCATGCCCGCGACCCTTGTGAGGATAAGCGGATTAGAAAATGGATGCATGGTTGATTTTAACTGTGCTCTATTTACTGCACAGAATACTCTAAGATTTACATTGACTATTTTTCTGTCTTAATAGAAAATTAGAATGCATATTTGTCTGCTCCACATTAACCTGCACCTTTGTTGTGTATGAGCAAATGTGACATTCTGCCCACAGTTAACATATCCTCCTCGTCAACGCTTGTCGCCCGCGCACATGGCTCTGTTTTCCCTTTATCTGCAATTTCCATGTGGTGGCTGCTGATCTAACAATTCCCAGCCTGAATTATTCCTCTGGCCAAGTACTGGTGGCCTTGGTGACTGCTTCCATGGTGACCAGACTGCATGTACAGTTGGAGCGGCTTTGAGTGTGGGCCTTGACTTCCTGATGGGGAGAGAGACAAGCGTAGCATGAGTCTCCTCTTTACATACGTGGGCACCATTTTTGGACTCCTCTGGCCATAAACATGCATTTGACAAAAGTTAACTGAAAAAATATATGTATGAAAGATAAACTCAGGCATACCTAATCCACTGGCCCTACCCCATGCCATGAAGAAATGTAGATGGGAACGGCAAAAGTCGCTGACACATGTGCAGGGAATAAATTGTACCCAGGGCATCTTTTCCCGAAACAGTGAGAATATCTCTGAGTATCCTGGAAACTTTTCCAGCTGTCTCGTGCTTTCACTCAAATTGATGATATCCTCTGGATAACAGAAGACGAAAATGGCTTACCAGCTTTCTTTTCTTTCCCCCCTTTAGTTTATTGTGAATATCAAGTCCAACTCTTCAGGAACATGACAAGGAGGCTGAGCGCTTTTCATTTCAAATCGTGATCATGGCAAGGCTTGGATTTTGTAATAACTGGGTCATCAGTGACAGCCATGCATCACTTTGTTCTATACTTCAGTTGACAGTGTTCATCATGAATCTTGCCTCTTTTTGCTAAGATTGGCATCTGGAAAAAAAAAAAACTAAAGTTTGTAGCTAATGTTTAGTGTGAAGAAGGTTGGGTCGCACCAGTACTGGAATTATTTGGATTTGTATTATAATGAACTGACTTATTGCCCCCCCAAAAAACAAAAAAAACATCCCACTGGCTCAATTTCTTCCAATAGGATGAGTTACAATTAAAGTGAACCATTTCATGAGCTTACCAGCAAATGTATAAATTGCTTTTGTGCACTAACGTCTCATTTTGCTTTCTTTTCAGCCTTAATACTCCCCCCGGAACAAAAATTAAGCTCCTGGGTACAGTTCTGGTTAGGAATGGGTTTTTGCTCCTTGATGACTCAAACATTTCTATTCTTGGTGGAGAAGTCGAACACATGGTGGAGAAATGGGAACTGCAACGTGTAAGGATTTTATTTTTTTTTTAATTAAGTCTCAGCTTTTGTGGTTCAGAAATCCTAATGCACGTTTATGGAAATAAACACTAGCTGTCTATCATCTTGTGGGTCTTAGTTTTGAAAACCTTTCTAACCAAGTTATTACTCCACCAGAGTCTGGCTAAACACAGCAGAAACAACGTGGGAGCAGAAGGTGGGCCGCCTCCTTTTTTGGCATTTGGCCAGGTAAGTGCCATCATTGGCTTCATCTTTGATTTGAATATGATCATTCCCTTAAAGGTAAAAACAATGACAAAATGTAACCAGCCGCAACATCCAGCGAAATTTAAGTACTATTCCAGTACTCTGGTTCTTCATCATGGCTACTTTTCAAAGGCTCAACAATATGCGTTTAACCACATTGGAAATAGAGTTGCAATGACTAATGCTTTATGATCGACGAAGATCAATATGATGCGGCGTCTTTCTGCAGAAGAACGCAAAGAAGGATGAAATAGACAGTGAAGCGCTTGACAAGAGAAAAACCCTTCAGACCGTCGTCAAAATTGCTGATGAGAATGACGAGTTTGCAAAACAGCGGACGGCGGCCATTGCTGAGGTGGCCAAAGGCAAAGAGGTAGGTCAATTCTCAGTCGGATGCTGACTTGCATCGACTGGCTTGTTGCAAACGACAAGATTTTGTGCAGTTCTCTAGGTCAGCAGTCTCCAATCTGTTTTGTACCACAGACTGGTTTCTCCACTCAACATTATTGAGGTAGTGCTTTGACAAAAGCCATGGCTGTACCAAAGCTCTGTACACAAAACATACATTGTTCACTGAAAAAATTAGTTCCTTTGGGCAAGCGGTTCAGAAATCAGATGATGTGAATCGGTTGTCATCGGATGCTGACTTGCATCAAGTGGCTTGTTGCAGACGACAAGATTTTGTGCAGTTCTCTAGGGCAGCAGTCTCCAATCTGTTTTGTACCACAGACTGGTTTCTCCACTCAACATTATTGAGGTAGTGCTTTGACAAAAGCCATGGCTGCGCCAAAGCTCTGTACACAAAACATACATCGTTCACTGAAAAAATTAGTTCGTTTGGGCAAGCGGTTCAGAAATCAGATGATGTGAATCGGTTGTCCTTGTATTTTCAGTGCATGTGCGTACCTGTGCACCACTAATGTCCATCCATCCATCCATCCATCCATCCATCCATTCATCCATCCATTCATTTTCTAATCTGCTTTTGAGGGTCCCGGGCCTGCTGGAGCCTATCCCAGCTGTCTTCGGGCAGTAGGCGGGGGACACCCTGAACCTGTTGCCAGCCAATCGCAGGGCACACAGAGACGAATACCCATCTGCGCTCACACTCACATTGAGGGACAATTTCGAGTGTTCCATTAGCCTGCCATTCATGTTTTAGGAACATGGGAGGAAACTGGAGTACTCGGAGTAAACCCACACAGGCACGGGGAGAACGTGCAAACTCCACACATCAGCCCGGGGCCAGAATCGATAAGCCCAGGGCCAGAATCGAACCCTGCACCTCAGCACTATGTGCTCCGTGCCGCCCCACCACCAATGTGTGCATCATTAATGTACAGCACTGTAGATGCAGTAGATCCGTTTCTTACTTCACTGACATTGACGAATATACTTGTTAATTCCGTTTTTTCAAAGATGAGTGTGATGATGCTCCACAGTAAATTTCAAACTTGGAAACAATTTTCCCGATGCACAACAACCGCCGTCAGATACCATCGATGTCTTATTTTAGATATGAGTTCAGCACAGTTTGAGAGTCCATTGGGTGACCCGGCTGCAAATACAGTATGTGTTTGCATAGTTGTTGTTATTGGGTTTTTTTTTTTTTTTTGATTGTGTGTTTATTTGTTTCACCCAAGCACGTTTCCTTATGTTGCTCCATGTTTTCCTCATTAGGCTCCCCGTACATTTGGTGGAGGAGGAAACGCAGGGAACAATTTATCCGCCACGACTTCACGGAACCGTGACAAGCACAGGCGGGAAGACAGGGTTGATAGACATGACAACAGACAAGAGGGAACCTATCGAGAGCTGGTGAGAGGACTTCATTTCAGTCAAATGTTTAGGGCTGTTTAAGACTGTTACATGTGTGTTAATTGCATTACTAATAGAGCCTAATTCCTGTCTATAGTGGTGCTTGAGCCGCTGTTCAGGTAGCTTGATATTCTCGCAAATATATAGAGGGAGGGAAGGAGGGAGGGAAGGAGAGAGGATTCACAAATTAACATTGTGTACCTCCTTCAAACAATATTGTTGTTCTCTGTCTTACTCTATGCACAGGTGGATGAGCGTGCCCTCAGGGACATCCTAGATATGGGTTTTAACAAGGAGGCAGCCCGGCAGGCCTTAATGGATAACAACAACAATCTTGAGGTGGCGCTCAACTGTCTTCTCACGGGACCTTCGAATAGCAGATCCAACTCTGCGGTCGCTGACAAGCCTCAGCCTAGAGGTTTGTAATTGACAGGCATGACCTGAAATATATGGGATTTCACTAAATTGTCAATGGGAAGTTCGAGGGATATACCCAAATGATCATGTCTGTACTTTAGGTCAATTTTGACAAAAGGTGAGTTTTGGAATTTGGGCCACTTGGTCTTTCCTGCCTTTGATACCAGTTACAAATATCCAACAGTTTAAGTTAGCCAACTATTTGCTACCAAGGATTGAGAATTGTTTGTCATCCACTACAAGGTGTGAAAACTCTCCAATTTGATGAGCTGAAGTCCTTAAAATCCCCCTTGAGGATGTTTATCCAACAATTTAATCAATCACACTTTAACTATAATTGATGAAAACATTACAGTAATAAACACCTATTATGATTTATTTTGCCGGTAATGTGATTATTTGCCGGTCTGCCAGCAGTCCAGACCTGACTCCCATTGAAACTATGTGGCGCATTGTGAAGCGCAAAATGGAGTCCTGAACTGTTGAACAATTGAAGTTGTACATCAAACAAGAATGGGAAAGAAATCACATGTCCATATTATATTGGTATTTGTGGCGCCCTGTTCAGGCAGAGGAAGGGGACGAGGCCGCTTCAAGAATGATGAGGAGCAGGAGGCTGGAGGAAGGCCCTCTGGCCCAAGTACTCTTTTTGACTTCCTGGAATCCAAGATGGGTGTTTTCTCCATTGATGGTGGGTAAAGTGGAGTGATTTGCCTCCTGATCTCAAATCTCCGCATACAACGTGCATAGACAAAGACTATTGAGCTGAGGGAATCGTGATGTATTTCGATCATCTGTACTGTTAATATATAACATATTTCTGCACCCATAAGACTTTATGGTGTGTAAATACTGATTGCAAATCAAGCATCTACACACTCAAGAATGATTTCAATCATTTTCTTTCCATACTCTTTGATACATAAGTTTCATTCAATGTTTGCATTTGTTTGCTCCATTTTTGTGTGTGTGTGTGTGTGTGTGTGTGTGTGTGTGTGTGCTAAGTTTGCATTTGATTGCTCCATTTTTGTGTGTGTGTTTCAGAGCCAAAGAGCCAGCCCCCCCAGAGACATGAGAACAATAATTGGCATGGTTCAGACAAAGAGCCAGCCCCCGCAGAGACATGAGAACAATAATTGGCATGGTTCAGACCATTACTCCAAAGAAGCTTCTCACACAAAGTTCTCCTCCCATAATGATCATCGGCAAAAAAAGAATGACAGGCCACCCCGCTTTCACAGGGACGCAGACTTTCCCAAACCAGGACAGGAGCCCGTTTCGGACTGTACAACCTCCCAAAATTCATCAATGCAGCAGTGGAAAGGTCAAGATAGGTCATCACGGGGAACACCAGACAGACAACCGAATGACCGGAAAGAGAGTGATGATGAACATATTACTGCCTCTTGCTTCGCACCATCGTTCACTCATTCAAAGGAAACGCAACAGCAGGTGGAATCAGTTGGATCATTTCCGCAGCGGTCAAGAAATGATGATGGTGGGAACACGGCTGGCCCATTTCTTCGGAGAGGGGCAAAGGACTATGCACCCTCATCCAAACTGGCGAATCCTTCAGGAAATGACATAATCCCGAACCCTAACCTAAACAACTTCAGGCGAAAAGCAAAACCTGACCGACCTGACTATGTTGTGCGTCAAAAGGATGGTGCGCCACCAAAGGGAGGGAGCTTCCGAACATCCTGTGAAGTCCAAATGTTTCAGGATTCACAATTCCTGACAGGGGGTCCATCTAATTACCAAAACGGAGATGTGGCACCCATAAGAACTGGTCCAATCAAGCCTACTAATACAACTGGTCCTACCTACAGGGAGCAGCCTCCTAAGCGGAACACTCATAATAATTTCGGACCCAAAAGAAAGTCTGGGCCAGGTAAAGGTCAAGGTCCTCGAGGGGCAATGAAAATCACGAATGTCGATCAGACATGGAAACCTGGAGATCAGTGTCTTGCTCTGTACTGGGAAGACAGTAAGGTATGTATTGGCGCCCACTCATTAGAACCTCACACACTGATGCAGACATTATGATAGTAGATAGTGATGGGAAAATGAGGCTTCAAGATGTTTCATGAACCAGTCGTACTGTTTACGGAACCCCCTAGATGGCACTCTCTGATCAGCATAGAGCTGAAAGCCCACTGGCTTTCCGTTTCTTAAATCCCTTTCTTTAAACCAAGAGTCATCTAGACGAGTCCAAAAAAAAAAAAAGGTTCATGAAGCATCTTGAAACTGACATTTTCCCATCATTGATACTGATGATGCAATGCATGCTGGGAGATAGGTAAGTTGCAATTGAACTTTGTGTCATTTTTTTCTTTTATAGCTGTGTAAGGAACGGATCGAATTGGATCCAATAATGTGCAATTAAATGGCGTGTGCATACAGGATAGCAGTGAAGGTGTTCAGAGTGTTCTGGATTTGACATTGCATTGACACTTTGCCTTGTCTCGACATGCGGAAAAGTTCTACCATGCCAGAATAGATGCCGTGCATCCATCAGGCACCACAGCCGTGGTCGTGTTTAGTGATTATGGAAACTGCGAAGAGGTCCTCCTCCATAACCTCAAGCCTGTTACTGCTGACATCTTGGTAAGGTTGAAAATGACACGCATAAGGGTTATTAACGACGAACTAAATATTTATCCCACTCATTTTCACTGTATTACTGATAACTGGGCTGTTGTAGTTGCACTGTATCCAATTTTAAGGGCAAAATGCCCTGGGCGCCTTGACTCACGAAGCCCATTTCATACACAAGTTAACTCAATGTGCTTCACATAATTAAAAGTCCAATATTTAAAAGCAGTTACATAAGAGTTAAAGACATTATAAAGTAAAGAAATAAGCGTTCGTATTATTCGCAAGAAATGAAAACAAACGGGCCCATTGAATGGAAATTCCAAGCTACAATGGAATGGAAAAAGAATGAAATGTGACTGACATTTAATCTAAAAGACCCTCAACTCTGTCAAATGTCAGGAGGAAGATGATGGCTACTATGACAGTTCCCTCGAGTTTCGCCGTGGTGGAGATGGACAGCCGAGGCGCACAAGACCAACCCAACAGTATTACCAGCCACCCCGGGCACGGGATTGATGGCACCATTTAGTCTGGCGGCTGAATTTATTTCTAGTTGGCAGGGTCTTCTCTTCAGTGCTATGATTGTCCTTCCGTAAAAGCTCGCGTTTATGAACTGTGTATGAACTCGGCTCTAACATTGGATTAAATGAAGGAAAGAATCTTTCAGCATCACATTAATTCAAAGACATTTTTCTAACCTTGTCTTATTGTGTCTAACACGACCCATCTTACAGGGTATTAAAGAAAAAAACTGTTTCAAATTTGATGACTGGAATCTCGCATTGGATATAGAATGTTTCTTCCTCCTCCTCGAAGCTCTCCTTCTTCGATGCAATTGGATTGTGGTAATGAGCTTGAACTCAAAAGTGGGTTTCTCAATCAAGTTTTTACATCGATCCCGCGAGTGTTCCCTCAACTCTGATGTCTGCGCACTGTTGGGACCTGGAGGGCTTTTCAAAGGGCTTACAATGCAAAAATGGCAACGGTAAACGGGCTGTCAGTTGTATCGCGCTTTTCTACCTCGGGTCGTCAAAGCGCTTTACACGCTTACCTCATTCGTCCCCTGATGACGCAGCATCAGGAGCAACTGGGGGGGGGGGGTTCAGTATCTTGCTCATGGACACTTCGACATGCTCGCAAATGGCCATGGATCGAACCACCAACCTGAAACGACCACTCTACCAGTGAACCATGCCGACCTGGAAAAAAAAAGAGGAGCAAAAACTGACACTGAGCACTCGATTTTGTTTTGGATATGACTGTAATAATGCGGGTTTCTTAAAAGGATGAGTTGAAATAAAACTTGATGTAGCTAGCTCGTCTGTTGCATTTTTGATTGAACAAATGACACTAATGTAGCAAGAGAAAACCTGAATGTGTTTTGGCTGCTCGTCGTCGGTGGCAAGCAGCCCCGCGCTCATTTGTCTTGTTCTTTGAAGCAAATCCCGCCGTGTAAAACAACCCTTCCCCCTGAAATTGAGATGCTTGCAGTGCACAGATATCATTTTGCACATTACAAAAGGGGATGGCTCTTCAAGCGTCTCACACATGCCACTTGCACTGTGTGAGGGACAAGTTTTACACTTCCCAAAATATTCGGCGCCCGGCTTCCAATTACACCCGCACCTGCGGCAGGAGACAAACGGACAATGCACGAGGGCTCAGTTGAGGTTGCGGTGCTCTACTGTGTCACGAGTCCAATAGATTTGCTTTATTTTCCTACTGAGGCGCCAGGCGAGCGCCGATGAATAATGAATATGCGCTAATATGGAAAGTTATCCAAGAGGAACTGAAAGTGAAGCTCTTCAAAGCATTTGTCCAGATAGTCATCAAGGACAGATTTTCAATCAGACCGGTAATATTTTGAAAAGGGACTCTCATTTTGAATTAATAGTTTAGAATAAAATGAGATAAGGGGAACCTGAATTTAATGTGAAAGTGGTTTAAAAATAAAGGGATTTTGATTCCGAGCGAGCCTGAAGCGCCAGACAAAATCTGTCTATCCATCCATCCATTTTCTTATCCGCTTATCCACAGAAGGGCGCGCCGGAGCCTATCCCAGCCGTTTTCAGGCAGTAGGCAGGGGACACCCTGGACCGGTTGCCAGCCAATCGCAGTGCACACAGTCGAACGACCATTCGTGCTCACAATCACACCGAGGGACAATTTTGACTGTTGCATCAACCTGCCGTGCATGTCTTGGGAATGTGGGAGGAACCCGGAGAAAAGCCACGCAGGCACAGGGGGAGAAATTGCGAACTCCTCACAGGAAGGCCGCAGCCCAGAAATCAAACCTTGCACCTCTGCACTGTGAGGCGGACATGCTAACAAGTTGACACTGTGCCACTCCAGGAAAAAAACCTTGGTAATTATTTATGAAACGAAAGGGTGTCACTAATTAATCTGATATTGACACTGATGTTTCCGACTATTTAAAAGGTGGTACATGAAAAACAGTCTTCTGTAGTTGGTGTATTTGCATCTTTGTATCTTCATCAATCAGCTCTGCAACATTATCACCTTCAGCGCTACCCGAGGAATGCTTTGCGCCCCACGAGAGGATCCTCGCCTGCTTTCCCACAACAACATGCCCTTTTCCCTGCCTGCTTGCCTCCCACCCGCTTCCCTCCTCTCATGTCACTTTTCATTGTCAATGACCATTATCTTTGGTTTTACCTGACCCTCCAATCCCCACCATGGTACCTTTTGTGGCAGTGATATCTGAACCTTGTAATGCCCGTCAATGTGTCCTTTCTTGGATCATTTATACATCAACTCGAACAACACAAACCTTTCTGTCCCTTCTGTAGAGAGAAATAAAGTCGACCAGAAACAAGTTTGCATCCGTTTTTTTTTTTTGCTCGCACATTTAAAGCTTGTTTGCTCAAACAGTAACTGTTGTAGGGCCGCGTTTTTGTATTACCTTCATCGGAGAGCAGCTGTTTTTTTTTTTGTCACCTACCAATTTCTGTATATTGTTCAAAATATGCAGTTGAAATCAGGTTACATCCTCTACAGAAAATAGTGTAGTAATTGTCTGGCAAGAAATCACATAGAAATATGTGATGAAAACACTCGTAGAAATACGTGTGGGAGCAGCTGTTTTTTTTTTTGTCACCTACCAATTTCTGTATATTGTTCAAAATATGCAGTTGAAATCAGGTTACATCCTCTACAGAAAACAGTGTAGTAAATGTCTGGCAAGAAATCACATAGAAATATGTGATGAAAACACTCGTAGAAATACGTGTGCGTGTGTGTGTGTGTGTGTGTGTGTGTGTGTGTGTGTGTGTGTGTGTCAATGCTCATGAATGCAAAATAAATGCAGTCCATGCAAACTTTTCGATCCACAACAAGAAAGCCCCACCACCTTCTAAGCATGCGCGTGGAATCACATGGAAACAAGTGACTTGATCTGACTGCTTTGTTGATATCCCTTGGCAAATGCTATATTTGAATTAAAATGTCACTCGTACTGTGAACGCTGTACTGGACGCCATGTGTGACAAATCACGGAAACACTTGCATCCAAGTAACCTGATGTTGCACGGACCACGCACACGTCGGTCGCTGGTCTTGTTTGAATTTGGTTTGAAACATATGGGCGGCAAGTTGAGAGAAACCGAATGATATCTGCCCATTCTGGGACCCCGTGTCACTCCTCTAACTGCCGAAAGGAGTCCATCTTTGGTCAACACTAACATCACCGTGCTTACAGGGATTATTTGGAATCCTTACATTACTTCACGTAAAAACAAAATCCCCTCATCAGCAGAGGGTCAGAGAAAGCTCCTATTACAGTTGGCATAACTGGTTAAGAGTGCATTTTGAGATTTGATTTGTTTTGATACTTTTGGCGCATAATCGTATTTGTTGCATGGTCTTTGTTTGCATTGATTGTCAAGTGAATCCACTTTTAGTTCATACACAATGTTGATGAACAGTATTGTATTTTCTCAACATCGTACCATCCCATCAAAGCCATTTTACGGAGCCCCAGACATTGACATAGCCAAAAAAACAAAACAAATTTGTGCACACCCTAACTATTATGTATGCACAAGGAATTACTTTGTGAGCACGAACTATTACTGGACTACTGCATTGTTTGCACAAAATTGTTCAAAGTGCGCACGAAGTAGCCATGGCTCCTTGAGGGTCATTTGAAGGGTAAAGCGAATGCACCGTCTTTCAAAGTTGAAAGCCGAAGGAAAAGCTACATCATGGCGTCATGACCAAAGCGTAATCGGGATGAATTCCAAAGAAATCCCGAAAAGCCTGGCATTGCAAGGAATCGCGATCACCGAGAGACGTTTGAATAGACTGTTGAGAGCTAGCTTGCTTTACCGGCGGAGGTCCGACTTGGACGCCGGTAGATTTTATTGTTCAGCAACTGCCACATTCTGAGAGGGATAGTGGTTGCCGGTGGATTTATACGAAATGAAAATATTTTGTCATAATATCGCGACTTAATGTTGGTATCAAAGAAAAACGTCAGATGCAATCATTTGTGGATTTTTGAAGGCAATAATTAGGTGAGTATGAAGCGAGTCTGTGAAGGCGCGCTCGATTTATTGAGCCTCTTGTCCAATAAGGGACCAGCACTACATGTGCACGCTGTAACTATTTCGTGTGCACACTTTAACTGTTTCTCGCGCGCAAATAGTCCGTGCGCACGAACTAGTAATTGGTGTGTACAAAGCATTTTTTTTTTCTCCAAATGTCATGTCCGGGCCTCCGTAACATTTAACTGACTGCTGCAAGAAGAACATAAATGGCCAAAGTTTTGCGGGGTGTAAAACGTCTGTGTTTCCACAGCAGAGAGATCCAGCACATAATGAGCAAAGTACTGGCTGCTTGTCAAGCGGTAATGGATGTTTTCAGTGTGCATGGGACCGCGGCCTACACGGGTCATTCCTCCAACACGCTGCCCACATTTGTTGCCAACTACATCTTGTGCTACTCATAACACATGACAATATTGTGGTCAGACAGGACCTGTTCGTTTGATCGTAGACGGTGGGGACCAAAGCTGAGTGATGAATCAGCAGTTGGATATCGATTCCCGCCTTTGCAAGATGATGCGCGATGCAGCAACGCAAACAAAGTCAAGCACCTTTCAATCACTTTTATGGTCCCGCTGTTGCCGCACTTAATGGCTCTGGCGCCACATGAACAAGAACTATTGAGGCCAGGTGCTGTGATTTATTTTTTGTTGCTTGTTGTCATTAGCGTGTGTTTGTTTTTGTGCAGCTCCCCATTCCCACACTTTTTGAGATGTCACTGCAAATGACAGTTTGGTAATCCTCTTATTCTGCTTCTATTGAGTTTTGAAGAGCTGTCAAGTAACCAAGTAATATTTTTTTTATTTAGAAATTTGGGGTATCTAAACTCAATACTCAAGTATTGTTTTTTTTTCCCCCCCCCCAGCCTAGTTTTTATTCAAGAAACAGAGTTGGAGTTATGTGCTCCCTCTTAGCAGCGGCATTCTGGACCAACTGGAGACACTTCATGGAGGATTGGCTGACTCCAAAGTAAAGTGCATTACAATAATGCAGCCAACATGTGTTTGATGCAAATTGACTTTACTTGCAATGATTTTCGACATACAGCAGAGTTCACTGTAGACCGACCACCACAGTATCAATACAATGTCAACACAGTTTATGGAATGTGTCAATACAGTCGTTGAGGCATCATCTACCCGCCACTAGTTGTTTGCATCTTTCTGTATGTATACTTCTTCGTTTGGCTGATTCTGTAACTTCTGATGGTCGCAGCAGAATGAATTCTCAAGTCTGCACGCCTGGTCACCTGCCAGCGAGTGAGTTTTTCACTCCGTGTTTGAACACAATTCAAAATGTTTGCAACAGACGATACGGTGTGGAGGATGGTACCGAGCATTTTACCTCCTATTGTCGACTCATCCTGCCTGCCATCTTTCATTCCGGCTGTTTTGCTCCACGAAGTAAGCCTTTCAGCATCAAAGCTGCCGTTATGGGCATCTGGTTTGTGTGCTTCACAGCAGCCAAGGAGGCACGACACATCAAACTGTGACGACTTTGATTCATCAAAGGAATGTGAGAATTCTTCCACAGAACAGTCTCGAAGGTGAAGGTATGGAGGAGATTTTTATTTATTTTTTTGGGTCATTGGCTTTGCTCGGTAATTAGATCGGAACACAATTCTCGAACTATTTTTTTGCATCTAGAGTAATGGGCATGACAAAGACGGTTTTGTTGAAAGCATCTGTGATGAATATCGCCTTTCCTGTTGCGCTTTTGAAGTGACAGACAAACTTAAATGAGAGCAGAT